CCCATACCTCTGGTAACCACTAGTCTATAGTCCATATCCATGAGTCTCTGTTTATCCTGTTCATTTGTTGCTTTTAGGTTTATGCTCAAGGCAATATCTTTTTCCATTCCTTTCCTTTTACACTATGCGTGTCTTCTAATCTGAAGTGAGTCTCTTGTAGACAACATATGTAGAAGTTTTGTTTTCTTTCTAATCCATTCGGCCACTCTATCTTTTGGATGGAGCACATAATTCTTTTCCTTTTGAGGTACCTGTTGATAGGAATGTAGTTACCACCATTCTTTATTCCTGTTTTTGATACATGTTTTTTTTTTTTTCTTCTTAAAGAAGTCCCTCCAACATTTCCTGTAATTCTGGCTTGGTGTTGATAAATTCCTTTAGCTTATTTGTGTCTGAGAAGCTCTTTATCTGTCCTTCCACTCTAAATGATAGCTTTGAGGGATAAAAATTCTTGGTTGTAGATTCTGGGTTTTCATCACATCAAATATTCTGTGCCAAGTCCTTCTGTCCTGCATAGTTTCTTTTGAGAAATCAGCAGCCAGCCTGGGGTTGTATGTCTGTTTTCTTCACCAGATTAGGGAAGTTTTCCATCATTATTTCTTCAAATAGCTCTTCAACGTCTTGTTTTCCTTCATGTACCCCTATAACATGGATATTTTTTTAATTTAATTATGTTTCATAGGCTCCTTAAATTATTATTATAGTCTTGGCTTCTTTTTCTTGCCATGCTGATTGAGTGTCCTTGGCTTTTCCATCCTCTAAATAGGTCATTTGATCCTCTTCTCTATTCACTCTGTTTATTCCTTTGTTTATTCCATTAAATATACTTCTCATCTCAGATAATGTGTTCTTCATTTCAGACTGGTTCCCTTTTATAATTTCCATTTCCATTTTTATGGTTTTATCTCTTTGTTGAACTTCTCACTGAATTTACCTAGACTTCCCAAAAGTTCATTGAGCATCTTTATAACCAGTGATTTGAACTCTGCATCTGTTAGATTTCTTGACTTCATTATTTCTGGATCTCTGTTCTGTTCTCTCATATGGTTTCTGCTTCTTTGCCTTCCCATTTTGGCTGCCTTTCTGTGTCTGTTTCTATGTACTAATAAGCAAAGCTCCTAAATCTCCTGGTCTTATTAGCATGACTTTGTGTAGTAGGTGTCCAGTGGCACAGTCCTGAGAGGGGTTCAGCTGCAGGCCAAGTTTAGTCCCAGCCTGTGCCCCTCTGGGGCCACCTGTTAAGATTCAGCAAGCCATTCGCAGATGCTATGCTTTTGGTTCCTCAAAAGGCCATGCCAGAAACCACAATCAGCTGCCATCAGTCTTGGAGTTGGCTCAGCAAGGAGCACCAGACTCTCTGAGGACACACCTGGATGTGGATTGGGTGGGGCTGCAAGTTGGGGAAGGCAGAGTTTCAGGGAATTCTCTGGGCAGAGCGACCTCTCTTATCCAGTTTGATGACTTCTCAGGTCTGGCGGCACTGTGTACACGCACTGGAAGTGGGGAGGGCTCCACAGAGGAACAATGGATACCACCAGCACTTCTGCCCTTGTGAGTCTCACCTTGGCCCTCACTCTGACAACTCAGTGTCCCCCTGTAAGTTCCTGGTGCCCCCAAGCAGCCAAACAGGCACTAGTGCTCAGAGTGACCAGGTCGGGAACTGCGAAAGTCCGCTCGTGGACACAGCCCCTTTAAGAGGCTTCTGCTGCTGCTGCTGCTGCTGCTGCTGCTGCTGCAGCCGCAGCCGCAGCCGCAGCCGCAGCCGCAGCCTCTGTCCCACTCAGCCACAAGGGACCAGGAAGCCTCGCATCCTCGCCCTATCCTACCTCCTCCTTTTGCAGGGTGATTTCTTATTTCTCTCCCTAGTTGTAGTACTCCTATTCATCTAGATCCCCGGTGACTTTCCTTGCCGTTTGGTCCATGTTTTCTTCTCAACTTGGTTGTTGTCGCCAGAGGGATGAACAAAGCCTCTTTTGCCTATGTAATTTTTTTTCCCCCTGATTTTGAATTTTTTAATCCTTTATTGAAAATCTGTCCCACTCAGCCACAAGGGACCAGGAAGCCTCGCATCCTCGCCCTATCCTACCTCCTCCTTTTGCAGGGTGATTTCTTATTTCTCTCCCTAGTTGTAGTACTCCTATTCATCTAGATCCCCGGTGACTTTCCTTGCCGTTTGGTCCATGTTTTCTTCTCAACTTGGTTGTTGTCGCCAGAGGGATGAACAAAGCCTCTATCAACTATGCCGTTTTTTCTGTCATCCCTAAAGTTTTGATGACAGGGGAAATTGCCTGGGCTTAGGGTTACCACTTTGAATTTATAGTGCATGCTTGGAGATAGCAAAAGATGCTCCTTTGAAGGAGCTCCTTGACACCATAGCTTTACACGTGTCCCTTTGCTATTTCCTCAGTGCTTGTCTTCAGCCTTCTTTGTGTCATCTCACTGGCCCCATCTTGGTTCTCCAGCTGCCATTTTGTTATTATACCCGATTTCCTCTCTTTTCATTCACATTAATAACTCAGGGTTTGGTTTTTATAATGGCTTGGACAATTCTTTGACTAATACACCCTATCCTTGGATTTCTGAGATTCAAGATAGCCCCCATACAATTTCACTCAACATCCTCTTTAGGCCTTGAGCAGTGTTGTCAGTTCTTAATTGCCATCCTTAAAAATCAATCAACCCATCAATAAAAGCAGCACCCACTTGAGGATTATGGTTTGTTGGATACAAGTGAACTGAAGTTTTATCATAAAAACATTTAACTGTGTCAAAAAATCTAACCTGAAGGAAGTGTACGATGTATCCCAGCTCTGTTCTGATTTCCAGAACAAACACATTTCACCAACTACTTCAAAAAAAAATTAATCTATGCTCACTATCTTTACTGTCTATGCCATATTTTAATTTGAAGTCTTAAAAAAAATGCATTTCATAATAATATTTTGTGACCATTTTTGAAACTGATAAACAGTATTAACACATTGATTGAATGTGAAGCCTGGTAGGAAAGGGTAATAGAAACTGTTTCTTCTATCCTTTTTTCAAAAACATATGTTAACACTTACTGATAAAGTTTATCTGTATGGCTTTTTAAAAACTACACATTGGAATCATACGAGTAACGCTATAAAACCACGGGGAGCAAGAAGGAGAAAGAATAGCCAAACCATCAGGCTCATAGACAAGTGAGGTCACTGTTTGTGGGCTCCACACTAGAAAAAGACACGTCTAACGACAAATGGGGAGACTCGGAGGAGGTGGCCTTGGAACCTGGAAACAGCTGTATCTGTATTGCATCATGCTACCAACAGGCTAGCTTTTCTAAAGAGCAGGAACTTTTTCCTTCTAAATTCCATTATTAATCTCCCAAGTAGTACTTTTTAAATAGCATCTCATCTTGAGTTTTCAAAGATGACCATATTATTATCTTTCTAAGTTTTCTCCTCCAAGCAAAAGAAAATGCTTTGTTACTGCCTTGAATGAGAAATATCATAGTCAAGAGAATACCCTTCTTTTCAATAATCATACCAATAATTTAGTGACCAATACAGACAGAGGTTGTTTAATGTCTTTTTCCAATAACACCAACCTTCATGTGGTGTTAACACATTGTTAAATATACTTTATAGCTATAGCATATATATTAAGAAATATAAGAAATTATATTCCATCTATCCAGGGAAAAGAGATAAAATTAAGACTAAACAGACAGAACTATGTATACAAGTCTGCATACAAAGTGTTGGAAAAAATGGGTACAATATATGGTATGCTACATAGAAAAAATTTAGTTCAACTACATTACAAGTAAAATATGTTTTCATAGTGTAGCCCGGGAACCCAACTAACACTTATTAAATTGGTTATAAGTTTCAGATAACAAATCTCAAAGCCAATATTTGAAATACAACCTATTCTTTAGCTGAAGACTGCCTTCTTTATCAAATCTAATTTAGTCCAGCTTCTCACCATGGTAACAAGCCCTTTGCAGAAATATTCAAAGACATTTCACATCTCGAAAATTTGCCTTGTACATCTTCACCACACATAATGTCAAGAAAAGCATGCTTCAAAGGTACTATGTAATTAGAATGGCCTTTAAAACAGGCACAAAGAAAATAATTCCTATTAAAATTAAATCTACTTCATAACAATTTTCAAACTGTGTGAACAGCGCCAAAGAAAAGACTCCTGAGATGTTTTGGACCACATACTCTAGTTTTTAAAATCTGTTATCTATAACATTGTTTCAGATATTATTGAAGTGCCTCTCATTTTGCTCATATTGACTATTTCTTCACTATTAAAGTACGTGTGTAAGAATCCATGTTTCGCACAGAGGACTGAAATGAGTTTGGTCATGGCTTTATATGGCTAGATTAAGCTGGAGCCCTAGCTAAAATGAGGCCAGGTAAGGAGACCAGCTTAATGAAGACTACAGTAGCTACTTCTGGGCTGCTGCTGCACGGAAACTCAAGAACTGAGCTTTAATCCTGTCTGTGTACTACAGAGTTTCTAGGAATTCTAGCTGTCTTTGGGGAATCCATTTGAAATTTAATTTGAAGTCTAGCATCTGCAATCTCTATGGTTATTTTAACTAATTTTTCAGATGCCTGCTTTTTATTAGGAAGATTTTTTTAAGTGACTTGCATCAACAATACTATTCTGTGTTCACCGAAGAAATGAAAGCACTTATACTACTTTAATCTATGTTTTGGCTCCTTGTGACCATATTTCCATAATGACTACCATATAGAATCTAGCACATCCAGAAAGAGTCTAGCAATAAAGCTGTAGGGCGAACTTGTCACTGGGATCCCACAAGAAGGAACACCTTAGGAAAAAACTTGAACACTGACTGAGATAACAGAGAAGCTCTGAAAAAGCAATTGTATAAACTTAAGACCAGCTCTTAAATATGACTTGAATAAAAAGTGCAAAACAAATTCAGGAACAAAGCAAATATTGATGATTACTTAGAACAAATTTCCAATACATACCATCAAACTTCTTGTAATGGGAAGCAAAGACGGCTTGCAAATGATTGCACTGTTCGCCAACCACATTTTTGAACTCATCTTTACTTTGCAGGCTGTACTTCTCCTCCATCTCTTGAGAGCAGCAGGTATAATCCTGAGGACAGATCTTCAAATGATCACCTGAAAGATAAAATGTAAGACAGTCCATCATATTCACCAAGTCCAAGAGGGAAGAGTTTGATTTAGGTACACATACTCTGCTTCGTTTCCATCTGTGAGGTTCCTGCAAAGGCCTAAGCATTGTGGGTATGGAAACTTTCATTAAAAGTAAAAATATTTATTTACTTCTTGGAAAAATAATAAAGCTATCTCTGAAAGACAAAAGAATGTTCCAGTCAGGAAGTCTGCTACACCATAGGAAAATCAGTGTGGCCAGTAAAAAGAGCATCATTCAATATCAACCCAAGTCATTTTTATAATTCTTTGAGATTCTATGCAAATGAGACATATTTGTTTAGCTTTAGGAGTTTACACTCCAAGAGAAGGTACCCTTAATGATGATTTATAAAATGTGACAACAACTGAAAATTGAACAAATATGAGCAATAGTTATACTGAGAGAAAGCAAAGGCATAAGTGCATTTCAAGGAGCTGTCAGCCAAGAGGAAACAACGGGAATTCATGTTGGATAATTTGAGAGTATAAGTCAAAAGGTGATGTTAAACAATCTTCAATTTTAAGATTTTCTTATCCAGCATCTTCTGTGCAAATGCTAGACACTCTATTAACCTTATGATTCTGTGAGGTGGATTCCAATAAATGTAATCTTTATGTAGTAAAGGAACCCTAAGAGTCAAGAGAAATGTCAAAGACATATTCACTCCACAGCAGTTCAACCCACAAATTATCTCCCTCCCCTACACCAAATGCATTTTGCTTGTGGTTTGGCCACGAGGGTTTGGAGGGCTTTTTTAAAACATATATAGATCTCAAAGTTCACCCACACCTCTCCCTCATAATGATCAAGAGATGTGATGCTACTCAAAAATTAACCACCAGGTACTATCATTTTTGTTGCTCCAAGATTAATTGGTGTGGTGTAAGTACCCTAGTATAATTTTGTACAGATGTTTGTAAGGATTCACTTTCACTGTTCCTTCTGCTATTTCTTATTTCTGTCCATGTTCCATGTAAGACAAAAGATATCTGAAAAGAATCAAAATCTCAAGAACTCAGGAACAAGTATATTGAAGACATATGAGCCTATCAGTGGTTAAGTGTGTATAATAAATAAAGGAATAGAGAATGAAGAGCCAATCTCTCTAACAACACCAAGCATGGGAAATGAATTAGGCCATGAGCTCGCCTTTGCTGCTTCTTGGCTGTGTGTGCTTAGAAGAAATGTCTTCACCTGAGACAGATATCAAAGTGGCTTTGGGGAGGGGGGTGGCTATTTCAGCTAAAATTGAGTTGACAACTTACTTGACTAACACTAGGATTGTCAACTGCACATATGCAAATAATTACATAATCATATATATTCCTGATCATTCTTCCTTCCTGGCAATTAAAAAGGAGTGTTACTGTCAGACAACAAGGGGTATACAGCATTAAAGGACTATTTATGGAAGGGGGAAGGGAAACGATCTTCAAATAACTTCTTCATCCAGACCTGCTAAAAGTCTTTTTGGCATTTTTGAAACCCTTGGTCAACAGATACTTTTAACAAAAGGGTGTGTGTTTGTGTGTGTAAAAGAGTTTAGAAACTATGAAGCTGCAAATTATCTTAGATCTCATTAGTGAAAGAAGGGTCGCTAAGGCTCAGCTTTCTGGAAACACCTTTGGTACAACAAAAAACAAAACTCCCTCTTCATTGGCTTAACAAATTTGCAGCAGGCCTTTGTAACTGGCACATATAATTAACAGAGAGATACCCAGTTGTCTCTTGGTTACACGGTTGAGGATTTCCTGCAACACAGTTTTAACACATAAAATATGAAGGACCCCAACTAGTACAGTGCTTGCTGCAGCTGTATTAAGTAATCCATATCATACTCATACCACATGTAGAAAATTATCTGAATGCTTAGAATAAGAACTTAAGACATACAAGGCCATTTAAATGAATTATAATAAGGGAGCAGGTACTTTTTAAGGGTTATCACAGGCTGGTTTCCAAGCCTCTGCAAAGATTCTGCTGTGAAGTGTACTGAATTTCTAAGGCAAAACAATAAACAAATTTGGAAAATAATCTGTGTTCACCAAGTCTTAGCAGGTTCACACATATAATATAAACTAAAAGGCCACTTACTGGATCCTACAAAAATAGGATTCTAAGTCTAAGGAAAAGCATCCCTTTCCCCCAACCTGCAATGCATACATACACAGACATATATACAACCTAAAGCCAGAAAATTCTAAGAGACAGCAGAAAAAAATGTTCTACATTTAAGAAGGTGCTAGACATTGAGGGGTTTAAACTTACCCACAGGAATTTTATATTGAGGAGACAACCTTCAAAAACAGGTAATAGTAATAAAAGTTTTACTGGTAAACCTGCTGAAAGTACACAGCATCATTTACACTGGCACATATAAAAAGCCCAGCAGGGCCCATGTACTCCGCCCTTTTCATATCCACCAGGGGCCCTCAGCAAGACCTCATGGAGACCTGCTTATATCTGAACACTAAAGTACATCATTGTTTTGGCAATACCTAATGAAAAAAAAAAAGGAAAAAAAAAAGAGTCCACTTTCATTTGAGAGAGAACTTTCCAGGAAGACTCTGTCTAATGGTAAAAGGCTTGCCTTATGTAAAGGACAGCAACAGGGTTGATACTTGGCTAATGCTTCTGCTGGCAAACAAGCTAAATAACTCCAGCATGCCAGTTTTGCCTATATAGCCTTGAACACACTACTTATTCTGTACACATTTCTAAAAGAGTATTGCTTGAAAATGTAATTTGGCATTCTTGCCAAAAGCCTTGCCTGAGACAGTATACAGTCCAAGACATACTTGGATTACATTAAATCCCAAGCTTAGGCTATTGGGGATTCAGTGCCATTTCCATTCTCTACTGATGAGAAGTACAAGGAGGGAAAAACGGGACAGTCATGGTACATTTGAAAATGAAATTATAACTCCACATTCTAATAAGAATTCAAGAAACTCATTTGACTTTTAAAATCTGACTATTTCTACTTTAAGCACCCAAAATGGTTTATATTAAGAGTCAGGGAATGCATATTATTTAAAGGACATAATACATATGTTTGAGATTGATTCTAAAATGCTGTGCTTGAATGAGAGTTGCCTTTTTCTTTCTGGAGCTCTCCTTTCTAAGCTTGGTGATCCTGCATATTTCTCATTTAAGAAAAATGTCACTTTTTTTCTTTGAGAGGGTTGAGCACAGGGACAACAAATCTGATAGGGGACAAGGGAGATAGCTACTACAGTGGAGGCACTGAGCACAAGGATTATTTTAAAGAGCCCTAGGTGATTCTGATACATATCCTTCCATAAAAATTATTACTTAAAAGGCTTAAGCATTAGAGCCACAGAAGAGCTAGAAATAGTAGTTAACCAGTTATTCAAACAGCTCAAGTGAAGAGTGGGCTATAATCCACAACTATTTGTCTCCATATTTCTCTATTTCAACCTCTTGCTTCCATGGCCCTTGCTATGTTTAGGTTATTCTCCACGTATCTCTTCCAGTCCCTTAAAACACTCTTGTCTGCTTTCCTCTTTATTCTATCCATATTGTTCTTTCTTACTCCACTGCATATAACATGAAACTAAAGAATTTTTTTATTTGTTGTACTTCTTGAGAGTTTCTTGTTCTTAATTTAAAAAGCAGGTGAATTGAATACTTTATGGTTTTCTAAGGAAGCACCTAAATTAAGTTGCTTTTTATACATGGCTCTGATTAGTTTTTTTCTTTGTGGGTCAGTGGCCCTCAAAAGAAAAAAAGGTCCCCTAGCCCTGTCCTTAGGAGGCTTGGATGAAATTCAGTGAAGCGTGCTTTTAAAGCTTAACTCCATGGCATTAAAAAACAAAACAAAATCACTCGAAAGAGCCAAACTTTTTTTCAATCACACCAGCTTTATGTAATTTCCCCTTAGTGTTAATATCAATGCCTGAGTTTTAGAAGCTGAACAAAGACAATCACAATAAATTACTACTCCATCCTTTGAAGCACTTCAAATCAATGATTAAAGAAGTAGGCATTAAACATGAGGAATCTATTCCATCCTTTAACAGGGGTCTATGGTGAACAATTTGTGGGACTGTGCTTTCTCATTTTGTTTCATTTAGTCCTCTCACCAAAGGCTGGCTCTGATGTACAAATGGCGTACAACTAATGTCCGTTTATTTCCAGTTGCTCATAATCCACCTTCTCATAGAAAATGTTATAAACGGTAGATAGGGGCTCATACCTGTCCTCAGCTTATTTACTATCAACTAGACAATTTTTAACTATGGCTTACAATCATTTTATGCATCTCTCTTGGAAATTTCATTTTGAAGTCCAACTAGATGCCAAGAAAATGTCTCTCAGATTCTCACACATTTTGTGTAGGATGGTGATAGAGGAATAGTTGTAGTTATTACTAAGGTGTCAGCATTCTGTACCTGTAGGAGATAAAGTAACTCTGTAGTGATTACTCGCCCCCTGGAGTCCTAAATGGAGGAAACGGCAGCCAGAAACATTTATGGGACACAATGGCAGAGATCCCAGGTTGGCCTGTGCTAGCATGATTCCTAAGGCAAACATTCTCTATACCATAATTGATTTTACTGATAAAGCGACCAAATGCCTTTGGTAAATAATAGAGACACAAACTGCACCCTAAGGGTAAGACTACAGGGAGGAAATTTGGGAAGAACACACTGAAAAGTACTTTGTAAACTGCAAATGTAAGAGACTATATGATTTTGCATTGGCCTTTCTTGCAGAAATTGAATGCCTCACTTGGGTTTTGAAGAAAACTTAGCTCTTTATGAGGGGTTTTTAAGTAGATTTAAAAGGTTCCAAATACTTAACACTATTTGGATCTTTCATTCCACAGGAATAATGGTAGTCTAGGGATAAGAAGACTGATGTGGGGAGTCAGGAATATGGATTTGAGTCCCAACTCTATATGATTCACTGTAGGCTCTTGGGAAAGTTACCCACTGGA